GGGTTGGACTGGGTGACCCACAGAGGTCCCTTCCAACGCCTACTATTCTGTGATTCTGTGAGTGCCAGAGCGAAGCCGGGTCTTGTTGCTCCTGTTCTACCCCCAAAATCTCTCTCCCGGCCTCGCGGCGCGCGGTTTCTGCTCAGGAGCCTCGGGAAAACCCTGGAGGGACCCCTCTGGGGGGTGCTGCTGCTGTGGCGGTGTTCAGCCATTAAACGCCGGTCTGTAGAAATGAGCGGGGAGGCCGTGTCAGAAGAGGCCAGCCCCACGTACAACGTAGCCGAGGTGGTGGAGTCGGTGCTGGGGTCGGAATGGTTGGGTTTAGGATCCTCCCACCTTCAAAGCGTGGCCTGGGGAGAGCTGGGGCTGGATGCTGCAGGTCAGTAGAACGCAAGCTCCGGGGTTTTCAGAGGGTACCTGGCATCTGGGGGCACTTTGCAAGGCAGGCGGCAAACTCTCCATTTCTCGAAGGCTTTTGGTGCAAGTTTGGTGTTTTGTCCAACGTGGGTTTTCTCTCCAGCAGCATCTCCAGGTCAGCGGCTGTCAGTAGGTGAAGCTCCATGGCCTGGGAGACGCAGGGCAGGCTGAATAAATAAAATTCTTTCTTCCAGGCTTAAAATCAACAGCAGTATTTTGCCCGGGTGCTAGGGCCCTGCTTTCTCCTCCACTTGTGCTCGTTCTCCTTTCCCTGCTGCAGCAGCGGTACTGCACAGCCTGCCAGAGAGATGGGTTCTTGGAGTTTATTTCTGGAGGATCTGCAGATGAAGAGGGGCTCTGCCAGCCCTCCTCCCTCTGCAGCGTCACCGAAGTTCGGCCGTGCCCTTGTCCCGAGACCACCGGTGTGACCGCCGCCAAGCGGGAGCCGTGCCGGGTGGTGCAGGTGGCTTTGCCTGGGTCCCCGAACGGCTCTGGGGCAGGGGGAGTGGGAGTCACGCTGCAGAGGCCTCCACTACTACCACGCGTCTGTAACCCATGTCTCACTCTCTCCTCTGCAGGGCTCTGCAGCACAGTCTCGCTACACCGTGCGCCGCTCAGGTAAGAAGCTCCTTTCAGCAGACCCAACGGCGGGTGCTGTCAGGCACAGGGCAACGAGCTCCTGAGACACTGCAACACAGGACCGATCCGCTGACGATGCTCTGAGTCACCTACAGCAGGCTGCACAGCACCGCGTCCAGGCGGGGCTGGAATATCTCCAGAGAAGGAGACTCCACAGCCTCCCTGGGCAGCCTGGGCCAGGGCTGCATCACCCTCAGAGGGAAGAAGTTCCTCCTCATGTTCAGACGGAAAATTCAGACTCGGGCTCTCCCTCGGGGTTTCAGCTCCGATTCCCAGCATGGACGAGGGCCGTGGTCTCACGAATGCCTCCCCCTTGCTAGAGGCGGGTGGCTGTGGGCTGAGCGCCGGGAAGGGAGGAAGACGTTGCTGGAGAAACATCTCCTCGCAGGCCGTCATGTTGGAGCAGCAAAGGATGGACAACACAGCGGTTCGGCTAGGAGCTGGTGGGGAAACAGGGCTTTCGGCCCCAGCCGTGTCGCTGAGGGGTCCCCGAGGGGTCCCCCCTCCCCTTGCCGGCAGGTCCTGGGCAGCACGTCAAAGCAGATCGATCCCAAAGGCGCAGCCGGGGCGAAGCACCGGTCAGACAGGACCCCAGAGCCCCCAGCCTGCCCTGCAAGCAGCCAGCATTGTTCTATCGCATCCCCTGCTCGCTCAAAACCTCCCCAGTTCAAGCGCTTTAAGAAACCTGCAAGCGCCCGTGTCTCCCCCGGGGGTGATGAATGTTTTTTTGCGTTTGTGGGTGCTGCCGGGGCACGCTCCCGCTTGGGCAGCAGCCTCGCCTTTGGCTGCCTCCCCTCTGCTCCTGCTGCTGCACTGGATCCCCGGCCGCTTTGCAGACGCAGGAGACCGGAGTTTCCTCTTCTACAAACAGAAAATAAGGAGACTGCAGCGGGTTTGACGTTAAAAACGTGGTTTCCAGCGTCTCAGCTTGGGGAAGCAGCGAACACTTGGGTGTTTCCCAGTTCTTTCCTCCATGCCATTTTCCTGCCAGGTATTATTTGCAGCGCAGCTGCGAGGACGTGGTTCTTCTGCGTGTTTAGGGAGTGGATCCCACCGGCGTCGAAGCCTC